ATGCAGTGCAGAGTATTAAAAAAACAAAAAACAAAAAAAACCTAGATTTGGTACAGCTTTTGAAACTTAGATATGAACTGAATACAGGTTTCAAATATAATCCCAAAACCTAAAAAATATGGGATGTTTTTGATACAACATAACTCTGAAAGTATTAGGTATTCCCTGGGCATAGAGGATAGCTAGTTGTTTTGACAAAGCCAGTCCTGTCTTACTTTTACCAGCAGTACCTTTCACTGACTTTCCTCTCTGAGTCTGGGAACGTGAGTTGCATTCCTTTTGAAGGGTGAGAAGGAAGTGGCCAAAAACTAACTGGTGTGTTCTCTTCCTGGAGGCACATGTGAGAAGAATTATAATAAATGCCTGAGTCTTACAAAGGCTTTTGCTGGAACACTGAATTCCCTAGATTTTTGTTTTTGACCCATTAAAAAACTTAGTATCTAAAACAAGTGGTCAAAGAAATGAGAATTCAGCCTAAGAGTAACTTACAAGTTGACACTTCCCTTGTATTATCTCCCATAAGAAATTAGGATTTGCCAAATACCTTTCTATTTCAAGGGTATTTAAAATATAAACATTCAAAACTGAAGACTGGCTTCAGGTCTTTTTCAGGTGGGTGCGGGAAGAGGAACAGTTAATAGGGAAGACTTGATTCCTCAGGAGTACAGCAAGTGTTGTTGTTTTTTCCCCCCTCTTAGCTCTTTAGTGATCTCAGCAACATGCAGGGCTCCTCATTTGGCCTCTGCTTGATCAAGGAGTCCTTTTTTTTTTGGCTTCTATGAACCTCATCTTCTGGAGAAAGGCAGAAGTGGCCCTGTTCTTACACTTGACTGCATTAGGGTTAATGTAATGGATCTTGCATCTTCAATCTAGCTATTTGTGGCATTTGAAAGGAAATAAAAGATGCATGTTAAACTACCCAATTATCCGTTCTGAACTGGGCAGGAAAAACAACAGATACATATGTAAGAAAGTTAGAAGTTTGTACAGAAAAATACCAAGAAAATGGCAGAAGACACTTGGGATCTATGCCTAGTTAGGTGTTGAAAATAAAAGGCTAAAATGTGCAGTTTAACTTGGCCATAAGGTAGGACTGACTGCCAGCAGCTGCGGGTGGAGTCAGACGTGTTTACATGCAGGGTTCCCTCCCCAGGCAGACCAAGCACCAACACCAGTGTTTACAGTGTAAACAGCCTCAGCACTTTCCTAAGTCCCCCAAGACTCAAATTCTTTAGTATAAAACCAGGTCAGTATTTCTTATTGTGCTTCAAGTCTTTAAAAAGACTGAGATTATAGGCACTTCATGCTGCTATAGATAGGGTTGTGTCTGCATTAGAAAAAATTACAATTTAAAATGGGGAGGACTTCTTCTTGAGATTTTGTTTTCAGACATAAAATATGCAAAATGAGATTTTTCAAATTTGTATGTGATACATTTACCTAACTTTTTTTGTAGCTCTACAAAGTAGCCAATAACTATTGATTCAAAACATCTTATACTTTAGAGCTCCATATCTCATTTCCTTACTGACAGAATTCGGCATGCAGAATCTTAATTAGTGCCCAAAACCTGAGTTGCCATTTCCTTCAATCTGAGAAACTGTTCATCATCTCCACATTGAGGCTTGCAGGGATGTTCATAGAGAACCTAAAGTGAGCTGTCCAAGTCATTTCTCATTCACTTCCAGCTTTATGGGACACCTTGAGATGCACTGCTCAGCATGCTTTAGCGTAAATTACAAATATTTTAAGTCTGATTAAAATGTTTCTCTGCATTCATGAAACTTGGTTTTAGCACATATAGTCACTTGTTCCCCACTTGTGATTAGTTATAAACCTCTAGGCCAAGTCCTACATTAGAATGGCCTTTTTTTCTTGATGTTTGCAATAATTGCTTCCTTGCAACAAAGACATTTTTGAAATACAGTTTAGGCTGTTGGTGGAAGGGACAGACATTGTTTTACTGTCACTAACTTGGCCCTGAATTGTTGCTCACAAGGTGGGTAGACCTTATGCTTTTGGGGTTTGAGTGCAGGCCTTGTACAAAGTAAAAGCTACTCATGATGTGTCTTCAACAAGCTGCCCGGTTTTCTCCATCAGCAAACTTACCAGTCTGTAGCTGCTGCTTTCCAATGGTTTTTTGTTGTTGTTGTTAAATGTATAGCAATGAATGTAGATTTAATTCTTTTAGTTAAGCTCTTGCAAGAATTGTAGAGAACAAACCTTCTCTTAAGGAAAGGAACCTCCTAAAGGAAAAAGCACTTGCTCCTCAGAGTCCCCAAATCCCTTTTTTGGCTTTGCATTGTCTTTTCTATTTATCATTAAATACGAGTAACATTGGTCATCTTGAATTCATAGTTGGAAAACCAGAACAGCCAGCACTAGTCTAAGTTGAGCTGCCCTTTCTCTGCAATTAATTGTGGTTCACTGGTTTAAAAGAGATAACTGGGAGTTCTGGGTGGATCAGAACCATCAGGCGAGAAAGTGTATTAGTGTGAATTAGATATATTGACTACCTGCTCTGCTTACTGATGTTAAGAAACCAAACTAATCTGTAATTATAAAGCACATACTTTATGTGCGGGGCTCTGCCTCCTGGCCAGTAGACAATTAAGGCGGCCTAGGGAATACCATCAGAAAAGTGCTAATTGTATTGGGGTATTACAAAAGCAGACCTAGACAAGCTGTTCATTTAAGTCGTACCTTTTGGTCAGAAAAAATTTATTTAAAGGTTGTGATCATGTAAAATGACTCAAACCTTCTAGCAAAAATATTTTTTTGAAAAATAAATGAAATGCCTTTATAAATGTGTGTGCTCTTGTATTAAATAACATGTACTGTTTGGTGAGTAGGAATTTTCCAAGTGACATTTCAGTCATGACAGCACTCATTTATGAATATGACCAATGAAGGCTCCAAGCAGCCTATCCTTAAAAAACACTGTCCAATAGAATTGTCTGCAGTGATGGAATCTATATACATGAGGCTAATATGCAAAGTGTCCCCTTGGGAGTTCAACCAGAGACTGGGAGTTCGATTGCTCGCTATGGTGAGTGCTGACCACCAGGGGTTGGGGCGGAACAAAGGAAGGCCCTGGCCATCAGTCAGCAGCTGGAAGGAAGGCCCCAATCAGCCCTGATCACTGGCCAGGCCTAGGGACCCTACCTATGCATGAATTTCAAACACCGTGCCTCTAGTGTTCTATATTTGCATCCACTACAGCAGCCACTAGCCACATGTGGCTGTTGAGCATTTGAAATGTGGCTAGTGTGAATGAGGAACTGAATGTTTTAATTTAATTAGCTACATGTGGCTAGTGACTACCATACTAGATAACTGTCATATCAAAATGGGCATGCAAATTCTGCACATTATTCGTAGATTTCTCCCCCAAACGTAATCATAAATATTCCAGAGTAAGATGGCTCCACTGTCCCTCTTTATAGATGAGGAAATGGGCACAGACAAGGATAAGTTGGTCCAACTTTATTGAAATCTGTTACAGAAGTCACAATTCCATTAGAACCACTGTCTGTGGTTTTAAGGTCTGTAGAAATCTCAGTTATGTTTTACTAAAATAAGAATATAAAATACATGAAACTCAAACTATAGTGTAAAAAGAAATTTAAAAAGTCAATAGTATGTCCTCATAAAATTAAAATATCTGCAAATGTTTTTTTCTTAAGCACTTACAAGTAGTTATAGCTCTTATAAAAATTCAAATAACCGGTTTCAATGTAATGAGAAAACCTATACTTACCTAGTGTCAAAGATGTTCACATTTGAGATACTTCAGCCCCACAAACTACAAGAAGTTTGGAGATACTTTGTTGCTAGATGAAAAAATGCCACTTATGTCAGGAAAAATTATATCAGATTAGCAGTTTTAAATGAATAATAGAGACAACCAAAGTGTCCTGCGATAGGGGATTGGATAAAGAAGATGTGGTACATACACACAATGGAATACTACTCAGCCATTAAAAAAAACAAAATACTGCCATTTGTGACAACACAGATGGATCTAGAGAATATTATGCTAAGTGCAATAAGCCAGTCAGAAAAAGCTAAGAACCATATGGTTTCACTCATGTGTGGGATATAAAACTGAAACTCATGGACACAAATAGCAGTGTAGTGGTTGCCAAAAGGAATGGGTGGGTGGGGATGAAGGGTACCTAATATATGTTGACAGAAGATTTGACTTTGGGAGGCGGGCACACAATACAATATATAGATCTTGTATCCTAGAAATCTACACCTGAAAACTCTATGATCCTATTAAACAATGTCACCCCAATAAATTAAAAAAGAACAACAGTTCAACACACTATTAGAGAGAAATTGCCTCTTGCCTTACAAATGCAAAGTAAATACTCTAGACTCCTCTCTGTGGAGACTGTTGCTATCGAGGCTCTGAAACTCAGTAAGCACAATTAGTAAAAAAAAAAAAAAAAAAAAAAAGACAGACTTCAACATGACAATTGGCCAAAACATATTTCCCGAGGAAAGCATTTCTGATCGTTTTTCGTTAGGCAGTTTCTCAATCTTCAAGCTCTTTTTTCAGACCTACTCTATTCCCAAGATCACTCTGAAAATGAAAACAATAAATCTGATGGCCCTCACAGCAACCTTCAACATGTCAAGACAATGTTTTAACTAGTGTCCTCTGATATTTCATCCCATTTCCTACTGACAATGTCCCCCACTTCCCTTAGAGTATTTGAGGTTCTTCCTAATACAAACCAACCCTGGCTTTTTTTAGCTTTAGGTAAAACACACCTTTTAAAAAATGTGCTTAGTAAATACCCTTCAAGTCCTGTACCTAATTTACTGACATATAAAGCATGTGAGCAGGTTGTATACCCTGGGACTGACTAAGGCTTACTTTTGCACCAACTCTTTAGGAAGGTCTCTTGACTCCCTAAGTTTGCCTTTAGAGATTAGCATTCAACATAGGGAAAAATTCAGTTGTCTGATCCTAATTTAGAGCAAAGATATGAATATAACAAAACTCCTTTTATTAAACTTTATCTCAAGGCAACTAAAAAAATTTTTAGATGATTACAGGCCCCAATGTGTAGACCATGAACTTGCTTACACACAAACACGGTAAACAAAATTGTAAACTTTTTCCAATTTTCCTAAAAGACGTGTGATGTTTTTGGCTGATAAATCAACATTATAGATAAACTCCGTTGCCAAGGAACACGATTTTTGACCTGGTAAGAAAATCATTCCAGTAACCTTACACATGCCCAATATTCTAAGACTAGAATTAAAGGCATTCTTTTGGATTCTGTCCTTTAATAATTTTCAGAGGAAAGCCATGAAGTGGTGTCTGGCTCAGTAGAGACATTGATCAAATATTTGTAAAAATGGCAGGTTTGCAGACCTTAGGTAATGTACATCAAATTCAGCAGGCCAAAGGAGTGAGTTTTTCATGATGGTTTTTGCTCACTGGTTTTGGGCCAGTTTTCCATAGCCTCCTCTCCCAGCATCATAGTCTTGTCGATACTCATCTCGTACCTTAATGAAAAGAACACAGGTTACAATATAGAGAAGATTGGTGTAACAAATATGCCTCCCATAAATATGTCAAACAGCCAAGACTTTTCAGATATAATGTGAATGAACATTCAAGCAGGATATAATTTTTTAAAGCAACTGCCTTGCAGAATTATCTCAGGCTACCTCATAGTTTGGTTTTCTTGTTTTGTTTCTTACCAAACATCAGGTGTATACTCATTCACCATCATTCAAAAATAGCTCATTGCAAGGTACTTAAATTAGGCTATTTTAAAGTAAAAACAAAATTCATTTCAGTGCATTTTGCTTTTTAAAATATATCTTTATTGATTTCAGAGAGGAAGGGAGAGGGAAAGAGAGATAGAAACATCAATGAGAGAGAATCATTGATTGGCTGCCTCCTGCACGTCCTCCACTGGGGATCAAGCCGGCAATGCAGGCATGTGCCCTTGCCCGGAATCGAACCTGGGACCCTTCAGTCCGCAGGCTGACTCTATCCACTGAGCCAAACCAGTTAGGGCACATTTTTGCTTTTGTTCTAGACACTTTTGCAGGTGGAAAATATCTAACCTCTAGCAAAAGTCCAGTAATGTACAGAATATATCAATGCATTGGTTAAGAAAGTAATTACTAATCCCAATGGGTGATTTGAGATTCACTTCAAGCCCAAGTTAGAGGCACAAAGTTATTTTCAAAAGAGCAAATACAAATAGACAAAACACTTGTCATTAGGACTGGAATCCCAGGTAAAGGCTGAGCCCAGAGAACCTTCCTGCATACCTGGCCTCCAGACCGTCCACGGCCATACTGCCTGCCCTCCTTAAAACCTGCATCCCAGTCTGTGCGAATGATCCGGTCATCCAGACGAGTTCCGTTTATGTACCGCATGGCATTTTCTGCATCTGCTCTTGAGTAGTACCTTAAGTATAAGTATTAAGGAACACTACATAGCATTTCTCTAAACCTTTTTGGAACTACAAAAACTCAACTAGATGGAGTTTAAAGACATCAGTTTGCAAAGGCCTGTTTGAGGTTGGTCCAGAAGCACTAGAGTCAAATATGACACTTGTCCATGGCTACATTGATCATGATTTCCTGAATAATCCTGTTAATAACTATTTGGTCCCATTCTCTCCATATTTTGATTGCAAAATATAAAATGTGTTCAGGGCAGGTTTAATGCCGCAAAATGCACTCATCTAAGGAATCAATACCATCCATATTTGGAGCTGTATATTCAAGAACAACCTTAAGAGAGGTCACAGTGCATATGGAATTGCCATTGTATTTCATTAGAAGGAAAAGACTCAGAAATGCTGATCTAGACATTTTCCCCCTTGTCTTGAATTACACAGGGAAACACTTGCTGAAATTCCAGTGTCCCACACCCAGTAATTTGTTGAATGAATGGAATGCATGCTAAAGGGCAAACAGAAAAACAACACTGCCAATGCAGCCTCTCTTGGGTATTTGCCATTATGATTGTTGATCTTTGACTTTACAAGAAAAATGCAAAAATACTAGTTCTCAGAGACTGATTATTATCTTTGAGGAGGATTTTGTCTTTTGTGTTTTCATTGTTCTCCCTGTCCCCTGTGAACTACTGTTACCAGAGGCAAAAGCAAAACGTGGACACTCTGATCCCTTGCATCTGAAGGGAGAATGGAAGGAAGAAGCTTGTAGAGCCCATAAATTAGACACCAAAATCAAAAGTGGGGCTTCTGGATCGAGCTGATAGTGAGCACATTTCCCTCTTTCCTTCTCAAGACCCCCATTTAAATTAGAAAAGAAACATACACCCAGGAAAGAGAAGAGGCTAGCAGCAGACTAGTGATTCAACAAAAGCCAATGGGAGAGTGTTCATGGATGAAACAAAGTCTGAAATATTCTGAAGGAGCTTAAGGAGACAGTAAACCCAGGCGGCTCTTACCTAAGTTGAATAAAAAGTGAAGCTGCAGAAAAGGTTTAGTTAACAGTGTCTACGTGGGAAGGCTTGCTAGCAGGAGGGCATTAATCCCAGGCAAGTACAAATCAAATGATGGGGTTCTGAACAAACTGTCTGGAGAAACTAGGGCACAGTCTTGATGTGAGCTGGCCAAAATACAATCCCCTTTTTTCATGGCATTTGGTAAACCCACATATCAAAGGTAAGGCAACAACTGGAGACAGCAGCTCTGCTTGGGTCCACAAAATCACTCTTCTTTCCCCTCATTATGATTGCAAACCCAAAGATCACCAGACCTTTATGGAAAATTCACAGCATAAATACAACCAAAAGAAACAGATCATTCAGGACAAAGAAAAAATTTCACATGTTAGATCATGTTTTAAATTTCTCAGAATATAAAACAAAACGACCAAAGAAAGAAAAATATTAGGAAAAGAAACAGATAAATCCGGAAGTTTCAATATTTAGTTTCCTGGGAGAGAATAAATGATTATAAATACAGTTTTGGTTTTTATCTACAAACATCTAATATAATGAGTATACCTAGTATAATTATATACATCTAATATAACGATACATACTACAGAGCCATTTTAAAAAGAGGCAGACCTACATGTGCTAATATGGAACAATCACCAAGAGGACTAGTATACTGCTACCCAGGCACAGGACTTTTTCTGGAGATACCCAAGACACTGGTAACTGTCTCTGGGCTTAGAATGATACTATTCCCTTGACTTTTAAAAATTTATTATTATTATTGATTTAAGAGAGGGAGAGAAGAGAGAAATATCAACTTGCTGTTCCACTCATTTTATGAGTTCAATGGTTGAGTCTTATATGTGCCCTTGACTGGGGATCGAACCCACAACCTTGGCCTATCGGGATGATGCTCCAACCAACTGAGCTCTCAGGTCAGGGCTTATGTGAGAGAAACATTGATTTCTCTCTCCCCCCGTTCCTCTTTCTGTAAAATCAATAAAAACATATCTTTGGGTGAGGATTAAAAAAAAAAAAGAACTGTAAACAAAGCATTGATTTCAAGAACAAAATGTAAATGTTACCAGCTTTCACAATGTAAGAGTGCAGACATACTGGACAGAAGGTAAGAAGATGAAAGAAGAAGAGACAGAGATAAGTGTAGGGATGCTAATTAGCAAATATCCTCACTCATTGTTTTTAAACAGGTGACTAACCACTCAGGTCCCATCCTCATCCAACAGCCACCTAAGACACAGGAAGGATACTCCACAAAGCAGAAACCACATGCTGTTTTCTTCATTTTATCCAGGCCCATAATGATTTTCTTTATGTCACCGCTTTTGCTGAAGAGTTCATAGATTTGTTCTTCAGTTGTATAAAAGGAAAGATTTCCAACATACAATGTACAGCTTTTCTTCAGTAATTTTTCCTGTTCTTCATTGTCACCCTGAATTTCAAATAGAGAAAAAGTTAAGCAACACAATCTAAGAACAGCCCTGCTTAAATAGTATTCCTATTATCAATTCTGCTTCGGAATCAGCTTCTCTTATCATCCCAATCTACCACAAATACTCTGAGGGGGCTTGGGGGGGAATGAGAGAGAGAGAGAGAGAGAGGGGAAGAGGGGGAGAGAGGGAGGAGGAGGTCAGCCCTGCTATAGTATTCCTATTATCAATTCTGCTTCGGAATCAGCTTCTCTTATCATCCCAATCTACCACAAATACTCTGAGGGGGCTGCTT